GAAGAAAGAAGAAACAGCATTTAACTGTTAAATAGTTTTACGATAGTCATATTCCTTTTTCTTAATTATTATCATAATCAATTCCCGTTGCATCGGTGAATCACGCCGTTACTACTACTTCCTTGCACTTGCTTCTTCTGATTCTGTTGGTTAATCCTGTCAAGTCCCCATATCCTTATGGTTCCATCATCGCTTGCTGAAGCCAACATGTGAAGGTTCGTCGGACTCCAGCTCACGCAGTTTACCGCTCCTGCATGTCCTGGCAGCTCAATGATTAGCTTCCCTGTCGATCTGTGCCAAATGTATACCTGCAAATAACACAAAATGTGTGGACTCTCGTCACTAAAATACGCAGAGAGATCAACGGAACCGAGAAGCAACCATTCTTCGATACTGAGAAATAATTATCACCATTTGGTTTGTGTTTTTTCTAAATTGATTAAAGTTTGTACCCAATTCTACATCCTAAACCCACACAGATCAACTGACGAAAGAAACAACCATTCCAGCAAAGACTCTTGGTAACAGAGACTAGAATTTCATCATCTGATTACGTTCTGTCTAAAAACTGATCAAACGAAGAACCACTCCTCAGTTCCGAGAATGCTTGAGAGAAACAGACCAGATTCAGGTGACAATATTATGCAAGGGGAAAGACGGATTTTACCTGAGAATCCTCGCTTCCACTAGCGATAAAAGCTTGTTTATACCCACCAAAGCATGATCTGATGATGAATCGTGAACGCCTGTGGCCTTTGTACCTCGACACAATCTTGGGGTCACCTTCGATATTCCACAGACGGATTTCCTGGTTGAGGAGATTTACCAGAAGATATTTGTTGTCATTCGAAAGCGAGAACGAGGTAATCATGTCTTCCTCTTCGATCAATCTCTCAACTGTAGCTTCCCTATCAAATAGGGATATCACAGAATCCTTGCATACACTTACGAGCCACTTTCCATCATCCGTCATTGCTATATCTGATACCTTTTGCGTCCTCTGACCTTTCCAGCATTCTATCTCTCTACCATCTAAATCCCACATGCATATGCTTCGGTCTGTCATCCCAGCGATTATTCCCTGTCCGTCAGGATACCATCCACAAGAAATGGGACTAATACCACCTTTTTCATACATGTGAACACAGCCTCCTGAATCAACATCCCACCGTCTGATAACCTCTTCTGCACCACATGTAAGAACTTGACGATCATCAGGACTCCATAAGATGGAAATCACAGGTTTCTGGTGGCCAACAAGTGTATGCTTCAACGAGATTTGCCCATCCACATTGATCTGAAAATTAAATTTAAAGTGAATCAGCAAACAGGTTGCCTCCACTAGAATAGATAACAAATCAAAACTTTGGCAGGCTGGCCAGAACTCAATTCAGGTGAGCCTTTGTTTGTAATTTAGCATTACCTCCCATATAATTGCGGTCTGATCCTTGGAAGATGAAGCCAAATATTTGCCATTATGTGAGAATTGCAAGAACCAAACTTCATCGGTATGTGACGCCAAGATCTGAACCATTTACGTAGAGAGAACTTAACGAATGTGATTTAAGTCAATACGCACACATGCACTGCAAGTCTGACTAAACTACAAACAGAAACAACAGATGCCACACACGTAATTAGTTAATTAAAGGAACCGAAGTACAGGTGAGAGCAAAGAAAGAGTGTACTACATAGCCAATGATGGTAAAGAAATAACCGAAAAATAAAAGAGGCATCAGGTTGAGACAATTATCATCGTCTATTTCTTTCTCAATGACCTGTCAAGGAAGTGGAAATGTTTGCAGCACTTTGTACTGTGTAAACCTTTCAGCTAAAGATAAGTGACTCTTATACAGGACAGACAAACTCATGGTCACCAAGAAACTACACAACAAAAAAACAACAAAAGGAAGCAAGAAACGGAAAACATTCACAGCAGAGCAGTCTAACCTGAACAGTCTGAGAAGGAATTTGGTGCTTCCCGCATTGATGATCAGTATACAAAGACAAATCACTATCCAAAGTATTATGGAAAACACAAGAATCCCGTTGAATATGAAGGGAATTCTCAACTAAATACTCCAACCTCTTTTCTGGGATTATAACAGAAGCAGGAAGCAAATTTTGCAGTTCCTCCAGAACCTTGGACCTTGAATTCACACTTTCTTTACCTGGAGCCGAAGTGGTATGTGATATAAACCTTGAAGGTGATATAAGGGAGGAAGCGAGCTCATGAACACGCTTTGTATTAATACGAAGAGGTACCATCTCATTCCTTAAGGTGCCTAGCGCATCAACTATCTTTTCAAATTTTAAAAGCTCTAAGAACTTTTGCTCAAGAAGCAAGAAAGATGCAGATTTCACAGCCTTTTCATCAGGCAGCCCGATTCTGAGCAATGTTTTAACGCTTTCATCCCATTTTCCATCCTTCACCTGCTGCAGAAACACCTTAATGGTGGTATTATGCAGAGAGATACCGGATTCTTCCTCCAACATAGCCCCGGTTTTATCATACCCAAGAGAATAAAGAGCCCTAGTGATAATTTTAACGAATTCAGATTTTTTAATGACCCCTTTGGAGCCGATAGTTTCCTCATCCCCTTGGGAGGTCAGAGGCCTTGCCATCAGGTCTCCCAAAGAGTTGTTCACGGTACAAGCTCTAACAGAAGAGTTCCCAGAGAAGCCGTTCGGTTCGTCAACAAGCCGCTTAGCACGTTTCAAAGGAGGTTCAGTATCCTCCACAACTCCCATGAAATTCCTAGTTCAGCCCATATAACTTTTCTGCGGAGAGATAAATGATTCCAAGCTGTGACCGCACATCAGAGATCCATAATAAAACCAACAAAACAAAAGAAAATAGCATTTCATCAGAACAGTACAAGGATTCAATTTGATCAATCAGAGATATACAATAAAAATAAGAGAAGCCAAAAACAAAAACAGAAGCAATGAATTATGAATATAAGAATGGGAGTAACAAGTTAAGTTAGTCTGTAAAAAACTCATGTAGATCTAGTAGCAGAAGATAGTGACTATAGCAAGGAGATAAGCATTCAACAATCAAGAATAAATGGAAGAGTGAATTAAACCCAAGTGATCAAAACTATAAGAGAGTTGTATTTTCACTTTGTTCGATCAGAACAACCATTTCCTCAATCGCTTCACCGATGAAGCAAAAATGTGAATAGAGATAGGCACAAATCGATAAGTGAAAAGCGAAAACTAGTCAATTAAACCACAAAAATAGACATAGGATCCCCAAAAAACATAAGCAGTCAGATAATCCCAATTCACCAGAAATCAACATCGAACTAATATAAGAAGAAGGATCACTACGGGATGAAGATCAATTAACGATCTAAGAATCACAAAATCAAAAAGGGGGTGAGGGAGAAAAATCCAATCTTACCAAAAAAGAAGAAAAACCCAGGAAGCAAAAGATAAGGTTTGGAGATGGCAGAAGAAACAGAGCGAGATGAGGTTAAGGAGCAGCCCAGAAACAAAGGGGGAAGGGGAAATCCGATAGAGAGATGCAGAAAGCGGTGAGAAGACGAGAGAGATGAGCAGCAAGTTCTGGAAAAGACAAGGGAAGCGTTAAAGAGAAGATGAAAAGGAGAGAGAGGAGGCGAGGGCGAGAGACTCAATAAGAAGGGGAAAACAAAGGGAAATATTATTAAAACAAGGCAAGAGGAGAAAAAGGCAGGCGTGGCTGATCACAGACTAGTCGAGTCGAGTTCCCCCAAAAACAAAAACAAAATAAACATTATCATGCATTTTTCTACTTTTATTGCTTCACATTGTAATTTTGATACTTGCTTAAGCCGGAAAAAAAGAACATAAATTTCGATGGATTGTTTTGGTGTTTAACTAGAAAAAGGGATGCTTTAAAAACAAATATTTAGTGCGGAAGGGTTGGATTACTGTTTTTAGGTTGCGCCCAAATAATGTTATGTAAAGGTCTTAACTATCTCAAACATTTTAAAGATCTTAAACACACATAATCAAAATAGGGGAGGGCTTATACATGAACAACATAGATGTGTCATTCATAACAAGTACTATATCATCTTCTCATCTTGCTACAAGATGCGACTGTAAAGTCTCACTTATTAATTAAAGAAGATAAATTGAGAAGTGCACATATCAAAAACTGAGATCAAAAGGTTAAAAGCGTTTTGGATGGGACCCCAAATCCCACATTAATGGGTTACAGCAGATACTATTATAAAAATCAAACTCAAATTAAGCTTGGACGAGAAAAATATTAAGCTTCTTTTGTGCATCATACGCATTTGAACTTTAATGGGAGGACAAAATTATATTATCTAATATGGTAAGTGATTTATGATGGGAATACAACATCTGCCATTGAGCATGCATGTCCATCCTCGTACTAGTAATGAAAGTTTCATCTGGTTCCATACTTCTAATGCACGATCATGATCCGCAGTGGTAATTGGTGAAAGAAATTTCACTATCAGAACTCATAAGTCATAACTCATAAGTTTGCATTGCATCTGAAAAAAAAACCTTCTCCGAAAGACTTTTAATGACTGGTCGGTCCGCCACGTATCGTTCGTAGTGCAAAATTATCTGAAAACGACAAAGACGATACACACGATATATTTTGCTTGTACAAAAGAATATATTTTAGGTTATTAAAGAAAGAAAGAAAAAAGTTGAATATAAATTATGCACGTCACTAGGAGATATGATTGTAAACCCTTAACAAATTAAACTCAATGTTGTTGCCGACGATAACGTAACAAATTGAACTCATCTTGTTGCCGAAGGACAAGGTAACGTAAGGAAGATGAACGGGCTTGCGAATATTATGGATATTCGGCCCAATAGTACTTTCATTATTTGTACAACTTTTTTTTGCCTGGTTAAGAAAAAAATATGTACATATTAGTTAGTTACCATATTAGGGCCCATATTAAGGCCCATATACATCGTTCTCGTTCTTACAAAATTTTCCAATCTTTGGTGTAGCGATTTTGAAGAGAAATCACAAATGGGAGAAGCACCTGCACAGATCCCGACGAGTTTCGGTCACGAGCTCAGGGCTTGTCTTCGATGTCGCCTCGTCAAGACCTACGATCAGGTCTGGTTTCTCTTCTCACTCTGTTTTTTTTTGCGTGTTTCTTCCTTTTCTTGCGAATATGTTTTGTGTAATCTCTTTGGTTTAATCCAACAGTTTAGGGATTCTGGGTGCGAGAATTGCCCTTTCTTCAAAATGGAAGACGATCATGAACGTATCGTCGATGTTACCACCCCTAATTTCAACGGGTATGGCCTAAATTCGAATCCTTTACTTTTGAATTTTACAGGGCACTCACTGTTCCAAAGTATATGAATGTCTCTGGCACTCCTGGATACATGGAGATACTTGGAATCTTGGTTGGACTCTTCTTAGGATGAAAATGTAGTCTATATATAAGACTGATGCGTTCTTTTAGTTTCTTTATCTATGATGAATCATTCTAAATTGTAAAACCACAGTGGAGTCTAACATAAAGTTTTGATGCTTTAAGCAAAATGAGTTAAAATCGACAGAGATAGTGGCAATGTTAATTCATCTCTTGTTTCGCAGTATAATCTCTATGATGGATCCACGCAGAAGTTGGGCAGCAAGATGGTTAAGAATTGGTATGTCTTACCATTATACTTTTATAGATGGGGATATTACTGCTACCTTCATCACATCTTTCTCTTTTGAATGAGCCACTGTGTATTGTATTATCTAATATTCCCAGCTTTCTTTGAGACAGAATTTAATCTAACTAACTTTTTCTTTATGTAATTTCTTGTTCGCAGGGAAGTTTGCTCCTGGTTGCTACACTCTTGCTGTCTCAGAGGCACTCCCAGAGGAAATGCAGGTAAACATATTGACTCATATGCCACTTCTCTTAGAATTTTAAGAAGAGATCTCAAGGCTTGAACGATATAATAAGCAAACAAATAAGGACATGGCTCCTAAAAGACAAAAACTATGTTTCGTATTGACTGATGTCTTTTTATCGCATTTATGTGGGGGGGGGGGGGATATCTGCATGCAGTTCATATGCCAAGACCAGCGGGTTCAGTATGTTCCGCCAAAACGCATTTGAATCCCGTTTGCATCAAGAGCCTCCATATTGGCATCTCTGCAGGTCGTCAGTTTCAAGAAGACCAAGTCCATTTGAGGCTATGAATGGAAGTACTTTGATTCTGATTTCATCAACTAATATAGTGATTCGATCCTCTTATTAGTTAACAAAAACTTATATTGCCAAACTCATTGTGTAGTTCACCTCCGGAAGACTAACTTATAGATTACATAAATTTTAAATTTTTGGAATGGTTTTTTTTTTTCCTGTGATATTCAGTTCGTTATATGAATTCTATTAAACAAAATGAAATATTCTAAATTGAACGCCTATCAAAAATATGTGGTACCAATAATTTAAAGTCAACAAAAAATGTCAACTATGCAGTAAATAGAAGACCTTAGCAAAAGTGTCGAAGAAATGGCTCCTTAATCATCCCAAGAGAGGGAATACAAAGAGAGACATTTATTGGTTTTAGGAATATGACCATTGGAAATTCCCAAAGAACCAAAGAAAAAAATGTAATGTAAATTGGCTTTGTGTTTATTGTCTATTTTTCTTTTGTATTTATTGTTTTTATACGAAGGAAAAAAAAATATAAGACCCACAAATTTATGGATACAAACAAATCATACTCAAGAAGACAAGAACTGAGAATCACATATTTCGATCCAAGGCATATTCTTCTGCTAGAGTAATCATGAACATAACGTGCATAATTAATTAGATACTTAACATCGACTACAAGTTAAATTTATAACAATTGTTAATTATCAACAACGTAGAGCCACCAAAGCCAAAGTGACGCTCAGTATATTCAAGGCGTATTAAAATTGTTCTTTGTCTACAACAAGTATCATATACTTTCTTGTTATTGCTAAAATATTTAACTAAAATAAAATATTGTTTTTTTTGGTAGTGACATAAAATATTGTTCGTCTCGTCTAAAGAATCTCTGGGATAATGTCTTTTTCCTTTGCTTGGGCTAGAGGCAAATTTTAGATTTTGTTATTATGGCAATTTAATTTGTTTTTTTTTTTTTGGTGAAAGGTCAATTTAATTTTGTTTAAAAAAATATACAAATTGGATGTTGTAATTAAAAACATACAAATTGGATTTAGAAAGAAAATATCCTAAAAAAATATTAATTTTTAAATTGGAGTTCACGTGGCAAGTCGCTACCAACTTCGTTTACTCCAAAACCCAGAGTCATCACAAGTCCAAAGCCAAAAAAGAAAAACAAGGGTTCTTGCTCCGACACGACAACAAATCCAGATTCTGGAGCTTCGGTAATTTTCTCACTCTTCCGATACTCTCTTCTTCTTCTTCTTTAACCTACCTTAAATCTATGTCCTGTATCCAAATCTCAGACACTCTGGCTCCTTCTTCAAATCTATGTTTTGTTGAGTGAATCTGTGAAACTTGTGCTCGAGTGTTTGTTCAGTACCTTTTAGTTCGGTATGCTAATGCATAAGGATCTCGGTCTAGATATGAAAGAAACTTAATTATTAGTAAACGAATTTGAGAAATTTCGATTCTTTCGCTTGTTTAGTTGATGGGTAATTTGGTTGTGGTGCTGAGTTGTATTTTTTTTTCCAATGCAGGGAGACGCGGGAAGAGATCTTTTAGAGAAAAATGTCGAACATAGACATAGAAGGGATTCTGAAAGAGCTACCTAATGATGGGAGGATCCCAAAGACAAAGATAGTTTGCACTTTAGGACCAGCTTCTCGTTCTGTTTCTATGATCGAAAAGCTTTTGAGAGCTGGTATGAATGTGGCTCGCTTCAACTTCTCACATGGAAGCCACGAATACCATCAAGAGACACTCGACAACCTCCGCACTGCTATGCAAAATACCGGCATTCTTGCTGCTGTCATGCTTGATACAAAGGTTAAAAAAAACTTACCTCGTACTTCCTTTTGCAAGCTTCTTTCGAAATGGATTCTCTTGTCATACTTGCTGTGTACCTAAACATCGACTTGGTTTTTCCTGCCTCTATAACTTATATATATAAGATATTGCTTAGCAGTATTTACTTCAGCTCCTCAACGAGGAGAGTTCAGTAAATACATGGAAACGAATTTGTTAAATGTTAAATCTTTAGTACTGTGTTTGGTTATTATTGTGAGAGATCATATTGTATATTCAAGAGTGTGGCTCGACCATGGAATTTGTGCTATCTGAATTCGTCAAACAGGCCTAGAGAAAACGTTTTAAAGACTGTCAGCTTATGATTTCGCTTGTTGACTTCGCAGGGGCCTGAGATTCGTACTGGTTTCTTGAAAGATGGGAACCCTATACAACTGAAGGAAGGTCAAGAGATTACTATAACCACTGATTATGATATTAAAGGAGATGAGTCAACCATAGCCATGAGCTATAAAAAGCTGCCTTTGGATGTGAAGCCCGGAAACACCATACTCTGTGCAGATGGAAGCATAAGTCTAGCTGTCTTGTCATGTGATCCCGAGTCTGGAACAGTTAGGTGCCGGTGCGAAAACTCGGCCATGCTTGGTGAGAGAAAGAATGTGAATCTTCCCGGTGTTGTTGTTGATCTTCCCACTTTGACAGATAAGGATATTGAAGACATACTCGGTTGGGGTGTTCCCAATTGCATCGATATGATTGCTCTTTCCTTTGTCCGTAAAGGTTCAGATCTTGTTAATGTCCGGAAAGTTCTTGGATCCCATGCTAAAAGCATAATGTTGATGTCTAAGGTACTTAAAATTTTGACTTATGTTGATTGCAATTCATGTACTGTATATAGGCATAAGTCTGACTCCTTTCTTTCTGGGTTTGGCTTTTGAAGGTTGAGAACCAAGAAGGAGTGGTAAACTTTGATGAGATATTGCGGGAAACAGATGCGTTCATGGTTGCTCGTGGTGATCTCGGGATGGAGATTCCAATAGAGAAGATCTTCTTGGCTCAAAAATTGATGATTTACAAGTGTAACCTTGCGGGTAAACCCGTGGTTACAGCCACTCAGATGCTGGAATCAATGATCAAATCACCTCGGCCAACCCGAGCTGAAGCCACAGATGTTGCAAATGCTGTTCTTGATGGCACCGACTGTGTGATGCTTAGCGGTGAGAGTGCAGCGGGAGCCTATCCGGAAATAGCTGTGAAAGTCATGGCTAAGATCTGCATTGAAGCTGAAAGCTCGCTTGATTACAACACAATCTTTAAAGAGATGATCCGAGCAACTCCACTTCCAATGAGCCCACTCGAGAGTCTTGCATCATCCGCTGTACGGACTGCTAACAAAGCGAGGGCAAAACTCATCATTGTGTTGACACGGGGAGGTTCAACTGCTAATCTTGTGGCTAAATACAGACCGGCGGTTCCAATTCTGTCAGTGGTTGTCCCAGTTATGACCACTGATTCCTTTGACTGGGCTTGCAGTGATGAGTCACCTGCAAGACACAGTCTGATATACAGAGGTCTAATCCCTATGTTAGCTGAAGGATCTGCAAAGGCAACAGATAGTGAAGCCACAGAAGTTATCATTGAAGCTGCTCTGAAGTCGGCTACACAGAGAGGACTATGTAACCATGGTGATGCAGTGGTGGCACTGCACCGTATCGGAGCTGCCTCAGTTATTAAGATTTGTGTGGTGAAGTGAGATTTCAAACTTCTTTCAAAATCTCAAATCTTGGCTCCTGATGATTGTTGGTAATCGTAACTGAGAATTTGCTTTGTAGCATGAAATAAAGAAAACAGGTCTCAATAGCTCCTGAATCTGTGTAAACCTTTAAGATACCCTCTCTCCCTTTTTTGTATTAAGTATTACAAAATTATGGATCAAAATGTGCTTCTTATGTCTCAGTGTTGACCTTTGCATGTATACACTGTTTCTCTTCATAAGCTTTGCTTATAAAAGATTAAGCTTTAAAGGTGTAATGTTAGCATAATGTTAGCAGAACATACAGAAATTGAGAAACTCATCTATAACGATTGCAAGGTTCAAAGAAAAGTATGTTCCTTTCATTGTTTCAAATCATAAATACTATTCTAACTTCTAAATCACCAAATGAATCTGCGTGGTAGAGATTCGTACTGGACTCTGCAATATAAGAAAAGCCGTAAGAAAGACAAGAACAAAGATATAGAAGATTATCCATGTCTGATGTGGTGATGTTACTGAGATCACCTGTTTGGCGATGGATGTTCCTTGAAGTTTATATGGAATTGAGCTTGATGTTATTTCTTCCTCTGGTATTGAAGATAACGATTAGTGTTATAAGTTACGACATATTTCCGCACATTCAATAGGAATAGTTCAGGGTTGTGGCAGATGCTTACTCATTAAAACTAGCGGAACTCATCGTGGTAGCCATAGTCATCATCAGTGTCATCTTCGTCGAAAATGGCACTGTAGAAGACATATGGATGCTCAATCATCTCTGCCAAAGTCAGACGTCCATCTTTATCCGAATCCGCCTGGAAGATCAGGAAAAGAGAGATCAATGTAAAATCGAGTAATTCAACAGCTAAAATACACCATTTGTTTTGAAAGCTACGTACCTGCGATATAATATAATCAGCTTGTTGCTTTGCATAATAACGCTCATCAGGATGGATTTTACTGATAATGGGAAGCAATTCAACGTCTGATAAGTACCTGTAGACAAGTGGGAGTAAATGGTAAGGATGCATGGTATTAATGGAAACACTAATCATGTTGTGTGTATTCGTATATTACAAACCCATCATCATTTTTGTCAAGCTGAGAAAACAACTGCTTTGCTGGGCCTTCAGGCAAGTCATGATAAGGATGCGTAGAATTATGATTATCTTCCTCGTAGTTCCTTACAGTGTCAAAGAGGCCGTGGAAAAACTCTTCGAAACTGATCTTACCATCTTTATCTGAATCTCTTTCTCTGGGAGAGGGACCCGTTAATAAGAGTAAGCTATAAAACAAGGGTTCCTCAGAAATAATCATATGATCAGTGATCACAGTACATTACCTTACTTCCTCTTTGCATAACCATAGCAGTAAATTAGGGTTCTTGGTGTCAGCAGGATGCAGAAAACTAAGTGAAAAGAATTACCCAGCAAGAGCATAGTGAGAACCAAAGAAAATGATAGAAGTAACCGAGCTCGGGTGCTTAAACTCCAGGAATAAAAACTTACTCGTTAAACTCTGTTAAATTCAGTAGTCCATCACCATTTGCATCTGATGCATTAAAATGCTCTTCCTTCCACCAGCCCATGTCATATCCAAAGGAATTATTATCTGTTAAAATCTTAACCAAGTCAGCTAGCAGTCTTAAGAGACAAAAGTGAGATTCTTTACTTTACTACTAACTACTTTACCAGCTTAAAACCGTTGCAAATTGCAATCCAACAGGTGAGAAAAATAATATGGGTCATAAGCAGAACAGATCAAACCAAAAAATGATTAAACAAAATGAAATGCACCAATCCTTTTGAAGCAAACCTACTTAATTTATCACCAGGATCTAGCAAGTCATATGTTTCTGCATGATCATATCAAGTAGCTAACCTGAATTACGGACCCAAGACGGTGGTTCATACTCAGAGAATGAAATGAAACCATCCTTGTTTCTGTCATGAACATCCATGTCTCTTTGAGTCCTGTGAATGACTTCCTTGGCAGCAGACTGCATAGTCCATTCAGTCAATTCACTCTCCGTCACAAAGCCATCAGCAGGAGAAACATCGATCTTCGGAAACAACAATATCAACCTGAAAAGCACCAATCAATCAAACTCTTTCCTTACAAAAATGGACCTTTAGACAAATTACTAAACTAAATTCTTCTAGGATCGAAACTTTCAAATTATGCATTTTTAATTAGCACTCGAATTGAAAGATTTGGAATTGACGATATATATATATATATATATATATATATAAGTAATGACCAAACCTATCAGTGACATTGAACTTCTCCTCATTATTCAAGTAATCCTCAGCATCCATGAAGTCTTCCCACTCAGGCTGTGACTCGTGACCAGGTGCATGTTCATGCCCAGCACCACTGGTTGTCTCTTTCTGAGAATGAGAGACAAGCTCCGGGTGAGAATGCTCAATGTACTGCCGCTCCCACTCTTTATCCTCACGACGGCGCTCCATATCAGCGACAAGAGGATCAAACGGAACGGGATCGTGACGAGTGGGTTTGAAATTGAAAGAAGAGCGGAGTTTTAAGCGGTGATGTTGGTTGTGACCACCATGGTGGTGATCGTGGTCACTCTTCTTCTTCGGGGAATAAGAGATGAGGAAGAGCACGAGGATCCCCACCGTGATGTATAGGATCACCGAAGCTTTACTCATTAGATTTTGTGTTACAGAAGTAGAAAATCTCAGCTTGAAACCCTAATTTTGTCGCAAAAGTTGAGCTTTTTACACTTGCAAGTGTAGAAAGATAGATAGATAGATCTATGGAGTCTTGCGGATAAATAAATATATATATGTCTAGAAGATTTTGACTCTAGATCTGTTGCAACCTTTTTTAGTCAAATGGTTTGTATTTATGAGATCCAACATCATTAACACAATAAACCCAACACATAAATTATTTTTTTCCTAAACGCAATTCATCTAATGATTAAACGAATGTATCGGATACTAAATATAAATTTGTAACCATATTTAGACAAGTCACTCGAATTGGTCATACAAATGAATAGTATCGTCTTTTTTTCACCTTTCACACACCACTCTAAAAATCATTACCCCTTCCCATCTATCGTTGTTACGGTTTTGGTACAAACGACGACGATTCTTTGTTACGGTTTATAAAAATAAAAACTTGACTGTATGTGTGTCGGCTAATTTTAGGGGAGATGGGATTAGCTACCGTTGGACTCACTCCAATCACAAGCTCAAGCATTGGAATTTGAGTAGATCCTCCACGTGGTCCAATCCATTACCAACTCCTTCGTTTACGCCTCCATCGATATTATTATTACACACACAGATGGGTGTGTGTGTTTGTGTGTATTGGATCTCACGATTTCTTCTCGATGGAATTTGCTCAGACCCTCTTCCAAATCGTTTAATCGGAGATAAAGCTCACAGATAGACATACGGTTGCTGATTTGGAAATGGACAAGTATGATGTTGTCAAGGATCTGGGTGCTGGTAATTTCGGTGTGGCTCGGCTTCTCAGGCACAAGGACACCAAGGAGCTCGTTGCCATGAAATACATCGAGAGAGGCCGCAAGGTTTGATTTTTTCTCTCTCTTTTTGCTATCTGGGTTCTTGAAGTTTTGATTCGGGGTTTAAAGTTTTATCTTTTTAGCTCAGTTGTTATGATCAATAATTGTGCTTTGAAGTCTTTTTGTTAGACATTTTTGAAGGAATTTGCAGGCAAATTTGTGAAATTGCGGCTTTTTGATGACAACAGACTTAAAATGATTGATTTGTGGATTGTTTGGTATATGCAGATAGATGAGAACGTGGCGAGAGAGATTATCAATCACAGATCACTTAAGCATCCTAATATCATCCGCTTCAAGGAGGCAAGTCTCTCTCTCTCGCTCTCTCTTTTCTTTTCTTTTTCTTCCCTTTTTGTGTGTGTGTGTGTGTGGCTCTTATAGTTTTCCTAAAAAGACAGCTGTCTTGGAATCTGATTTTGATTCTGTTCCAGGTGATTCTGACACCTACTCATCTTGCTATTGTGATGGAATATGCTTCTGGAGGAGAGCTCTTTGATCGAATCTGCACTGCTGGTAGATTTAGTGAAGCTGAGGTTAGTTATTCTATTTAAAGGCTTGCACTTTAATTCATCTGTTCCTTTATATTTTCCTTTATCCCTTTTCTTTCTTTTTTATGAGCTTGTATGAGTTTTTGCCTTTTTGGTTTGATTGTTTGTTTTTCCTTTACAGGCTAGGTACTTCTTTCAACAGCTGATTTGTGGTGTAGACTACTGCCATTCCTTGGTATGTAAATAATTCTTCCTATATTCATTAAGCTGAGAAGGAAAATTATGCAACTATTGATGTTTTAGCGCCCAGATTCTTTGTTTGGGATTTGGAATTAATGCCTCCGTTCTTGTGTTACCCTCCCCTCTCTTTTGCTTTGGTGCAGCAAATATGCCATAGAGACCTGAAGCTTGAGAACACATTGCTCGATGGGAGCCCTGCTCCCCTTTTGAAAATATGCGACTTTGGTTACTCTAAGGTCTGCACTCATTCATTTCCTTTCTTGTTTGAGCAGTTTGTCTCTATCCTCATATAAATTCTAATCAAAAGTATTATCTATTCACTCCTCTTGATTTTATAACTTTTTCCTGTTTTCTATATTATTTCTACTGTGTAGTCATCTATACTACATTCGAGGCCTAAATCGACTGTGGGAACTCCAGCATACATAGCACCAGAAGTTCTTTCACGAAGAGAATATGATGGCAAGGTACACTACTCATGCCTTCTTATACATATCAGTTTGTCATCATTGCATAAATAGTTGTCAGAGTTTAGTTAAAAGAGAAGAAAAAATTATGAGGATAGAATGTTTAGACTGCTAAGATCGATGTTATAGTCTGTCTGATATATCTTTTGTACTGTCATGTCATGGTCTGTGTAAAACTTTTAAGGTTACTGTACTTCTAATAAGATTTAAATGGATCAGTCTCTGCACATTTCCAAGCATAGGGTCTTAAATTAAAACAATTATCGGGGTGACAATCGATGTGAGTAGGATTTGTATAGGTCAGTCTCAGTAATCATTTTTTTCATGATTGTCATAGGGCACATAGACTCGCTTTTGCATTCATATGGCTGTGTTTTTTGTAGCACGCGGATGTGTGGTCATGTGGAGTGACCCTTTATGTCATGTTGGTTGGAGCGTACCCGTTTGAGGATCCTAATGATCCAAAGAACTTCAGGAAAACAATCCAAGTAACTAGACCATTCAACAATTCTGATTCACTCCCCTTCTTATTGCTCTAGTGTCTCAACAATGTAACAGTTTAAATGGTATTCTGCAGCGCATAATGGCTGTACAATACAAGATCCCGGACTATGTTCACATATCTCAGGAATGCAAGCACCTTCTCTCTCGCATATTTGTCACTAACTCAGCTAAGGTACCTTATATATTCCAGTTTCAAGCTATAGATTATGTTTTTGCGGTGCTGATTATTTGTGACAGAGAATCACGCTGAAGGAGATCAAGAATCATCCGTGGTACTTGAAAAATCTGCCGAAGGAGCTGCTAGAGTCAGCTCAAGCAGCGTATTACAAGAGAGACACTAGCTTCTCTCTTCAAAGCGTAGAGGACATAATGAAGATAGTTGGAGAAGCAAGGAATCCAGCTCCACCAACTAGTGCTGTCAAAAGTTCGGGATCAGGAGCTGAGGAAGAAGATGAAGAGGACATTGAAGCTGAAGTGGAAGAAGACGAAGACGAAGAAGACGAATACGAGAAGCATGTCAAAGAGGCTCATCAGTCTTTTCAAGAGTCTGACAAAGTGTAGGAAGAAAAATGCTCTGTTTCTCTTACTTCATTTCTTCTTCAAGAACACTGCTTGGTACGTTGGTGACTTGCTTCTGGTAAAAAAAACACATATTTCTGAAAGCCGAAGGCTGTAAAGCTACGTGCAGGTTCACATTTAGATTTTATGTCGTTGTCGTTTTGTCAATTGTTGTTTGTAAGAAGTGAACATCACTAGTTTGGATACTCTGAACCATACAAATCGTTTAATAAGCGTTTGTTATTTTATTATTTAGACTCTCGCAACCGTATTTATTCCAGTTGCCTTAAGCTAGCTAAACCCTAAGAAGTAAAAACTAGATAATCAGGCCGTCAATTTTAGGGTGAGAATCCCCGACATAAAGTGCCTGTCTCTTTTGATCTCGACTAGTTGGAAAAAAAAAACAGAGAGAGTCAGTAGTCATGAGAGGAGAGGAGAGGAAACATAGTTTCAAAAACCTAGCTAATGAAAAGAAGAGGAGATCAGGACCTCACTTACCGAACTCACTACTCAAGACCATTGCTCATGAGACACGTCCGTTACACTTTGGCGATCGGGCATGTTCGTTTGGTCGCCGCAGGCGGTTGCGGCAGCGGCAGCGGTAGCGGTTGCGGCGAACGCAACGTTTTTGGTCGCTAAATCAAATCGACGTTCAAAATTTTTAATCGCAGAAGGTTGCGTTCGCCGCTGCGGCAACCTGCGGTAGCCAAACGAACAACAGTTTTTGCCGCCGCCGCAGCCGCAGGTACCTGCGGCTACCAAACGAACAGGGCCGATATCGATTCCGATGACTGCGATTTGTACGAGTACGAAGAAGGTGTGGCTGAAGAGGAATCTAAGAAAAACCACCGTTATGACCGCGTTAATAACTACGAGTTTGAGCTTCCTGAGGACTTCGAGGTTTGTTTTTTAAAGTCTTTCTAGTTCGTAAATATTCCGCGGTCGATTCTCTATCTCATCGCCGTCACTGTAGGAGTTTGACTTTAGGTTTAGAGTTGTTTGGGTAACACGTAATAATTTAGGTTAAAAGTTGTTTTAAAGGAGACTGCCTTTTAAAGAGTTCGAGGTTTTTATTTCTGTTTATATTTTTCCAACGAAGGATGAAAACGTGGAGTCAGAAGATGATGATGATGATGATGATAGACACAGACGGATGTTGCAAGCCATCACTGGAATGCCAAGTGCAGCCTTTCAAGGTAGACAGAGTCTTGCTTCTATCTTATGTTCATTGCATTTGTAAGCTGTTTATATTCTTTTTTTTTTGTTCAGGAGAGAGTAAAAAAAAACATGTACTCTTCACTGAACCATATCCAGAGTCTGAATTTAATCCTACCCGTGATGTTCTGGAGGGCAAATCCCTCATCACAATGGAAGACCTTTTAGAGCCTCTTCAAGGGAAACCTGGATATAGCCAACTATCTGAGAGGGTCTTCCGGATGCGAAAAGATATTCAATCTCTTGTTCATGCTCCTCTGCCAATGCCAGAACAAGAAAGACTGGAACGGGGTGCAGTGAAAAGACTAGTTGACGAGGTGTTTAGTAAGTGGGTGTCCCAGGTAAAGAGGAAAAGAGAGGCAACAACTGTTTACTTTAACCAAGATGTTAATGTTGGTTACTCTACGGTTGGTGCAATAGCATCAAAATTTCAGCCCAGGACTGAATTTGAGATGAAGATGGCTTCTCTACTCGGTGATCATGAGATTTGGGAGGCTGACAAAGAAGATGGCGCTATGCTTCTTGAATTGAACGAGGCAAGTTTTGAGTTCATTCCCTGCACACAGCTTTCTTGACTTAGAAATTATGTGGCATTGAAACTTAGCTTATTTGGATATCTAATGTAACTGTTTTGAATAAATTTTGACGTTGTAGGTATCTATGGAAGATCACATCAAGAAACACAACCACATTGCTAAGATGCGGAGCATGCTCTTCCGTGTTGACTTGAAAAGTAAACGAATCAAGAAGATTAAGTCTAAAATTTATCATCGCCTTAAAAACAAAGATCTGAAGAAATCGGGGGTTGGAGCAATAATGGACCCGGCAATGGCCAAAGAAGAGGCTAAGAAGCAGGAGATTAGACGAGTAGAGGTGATTTTTATATTTTCTCTTCACTTCACAGACTTTTTCATCAAGACACTGTTAAAAAAACAGTGATAGTTGTCTTATTTTGTTTATTTATGCAGGAACGTATGACTTTAAAGCACAAAAACACAGGAAGATGGCCCAAGCGGATGGTAAGGCTTGGACTGAATAGGAAATACGATGGAACTCGGGCAGCTATTTCTGAACAACTTCAGATTAATGCTACTTTGTCCAGAAAGATGAACTCCAAAAAAGATGAAAGTAGTAGTGATGAGAGCGATGCAGAGTTGGATGATGGTTCAGATCAGGATACTTGTAAATTGATAGCTAAAGCAAAGGAGAAGACACTGAAAGCTGTGGAAGATGATGAAGTGCCCATTTCTGGTGCTATGGCATTACCTTTCATGGTAACTATTGCTTTGTTTTCTCAAAATACTTTGATTACTTTTATTCTGATTTTTTCGGTCATTCATGTTTTTGGTTTGGTCAGACTCGGGCTGTGGAAAAGAAAAACGAGGAAGCTAAAGAAGAAGCTAAACGTGCAGTTGAGGAGTATGAAGAGTTGGGGAACTCCGTTGGAGCAGAAAACTCTAGAAAGTCCACTAATGTTGGTGGTAGAAGAGTATTTGGGGGAGAAACTCCAAAAGGATCTAAAAAGGAATCAGACAATTTTTTTGATAACAGTGGTAGTAGTGACAATGATACGGAAGATAATGATTTAGAGGCTGTAAAAGATAATGCTTCACCTGCTAGAAACACTGAAACTATTATGGAAACAGAGGTACCATTCGGTTAGTCATAATGGTTCTTTCTTCTCTCCCTTTCGAAATCTGTGATTTAAGCATCTTTTGTTTAATTTACTGCAGAAGCTGGATGATGTTACTAGAAACTCAGCATCAAAGACAACATTTGATGTAGCCTTATTTGCATCAGGCTACTGGAAGAAGGTTTGCTTTGTAAAAAATATACTTATCAGACTTGGTCTTTTTTTTTGTGTGTGTATCATCTTGTATTAAACTCCTTTTTGTATGTAATGCAGATGACAGGCTGCAAAGACGCAGAATCCAAAACAGCTTCAAAGACGCATGTACCCATTTCACAGTCCCAAGACAAAAAGGTTTCGAACCTTTATATCACAACGGAATCGAGTGATGATGATTCAGAGAGTGAAGCAGAGCAAATGGTTGATGGGATTTTGAGAGGTTGTTCAAAGGGAACCAAAGAGATCCCTTGTCAAGCAGAGCTTGTAAGTCGTGCTTTTGCTGGTGATGATGTTGTAGGTGAATTCGACAAGGATAAGCAAGAAGTACTAAATCAGGAAGTTCCTGAACCCGAAAAACCAATTCGAGTTCCTGGTTGGGGACAATGGACCAGTATCCAAAACAAGAGAGGTTTACCTCAATGCATGTTTAGAGAACACGAAGATGACAAGAAAAGGAGAGAAGAAGCTCTCGAAAAAAGGAAGGACGGTCGTCTCAGACATGTTATCATATCAGAAAAAGTCTATAAAAAGGTCTGTGCTGTAGCCTGTAGTGTCTCACTTAATATGCCTATTCCTTCCTCTGTATATTCATAATTTGATGACATTATCTAATATTTTTCAGGCTGAGAAACTTCATACAAAGAGTTTACCTTTCCCTTACACATCCAATGAAGTGTTCGAACATAGTATGCGTATGCCTATAGGCCCCGAGTTCAACCCCACAACTATTGTTGGAGATCTAAACCGACCTGAGGTTATTTTTCATTACTTTGTTTACATTAGTCGTGTACCCATTTCGCAAATTGTTGAACTATCTTAAAACCCTGTGACGATTTAACTTGTGTATGCAGGTTGTAAAGAAAGCTGGCGTGATCATTAAACCTGTCAAGTTTGAGGAAGTAGATCCGAATGAGACTGTGGATGAAGAACACCCTCATAGCCATCAGAAACGGAAAAACAAAAAACCCAAAAAGGGGTAGCTAGCAAGTTAGACCACCAATAGAAGTCAAAGCAAAAGTCAAGTCCATGTCCAAGTAAAGGACCAAAGATCTTGCATTCTTAAACATATTATTGTCTTATTTATAAAAGAGCATTTTGTTGCTTTCAAATCCTTGTTCATCAATCACCATATTCCCACCTCCACCTTGGTTATTTTCGGTTCTGCTGCACGGGTTGCGGTTGTGACACAATTTCCTTTGGTTCAACTACCGGTTTGCCTCTCAAATCGGTTTAGCATAATTTGATAGCATCCTTTTGGGTTTCTTATCGGGCTTTTTATGGGCTAATCAAGACTTCCCAAACAATTGAGCCCTATAGTTTCAAAAACAACGTAGCGTTTTTGTTATTCGCAATGGGAGCAAACTACAAACCGTTTATAGTCTGCTGTGCTAAAACGTCATCGTTAGTACCAGTTCTCTGCTTCATTTCCTATCCCTTTAAAACCCTTATCGTTTATGCTGTAAAACCCTCTCGACATTTTTGCGACTCTTCTCCTCCTTATCTTCAAATCCTCTCCGGTCACCGACGACGGGAACTTGGTAGTTACAGGTCCAAGATATGTCCTTGAAGTTCCCTCTCGGTGTACGTTTCATTACTCATTCTCTTCCTTGTACTCGTCTCCCTTCCATGAATTCTGGCGCCCTTATCTATTCATTTCGTTCCGTCCCTGTTCTATCTAAAGCATTTCCTTTTAGATTAAAGTATATTGGATTAGGTTCCCGGGTCAGTTTTTCAACCCGACCGGAGAGATCCCAAGCAGAATTCGGGCGGCGGAGGGGAGCTGGAGGAGAGATTCGCGCGTCAAAGAGTTTGATTGAGGATGAGGCAGAGCTTAGTGATTGGGTGAGCGATTTGAGGACTAGCTCTTCGCGTGGGAAGTTCACAAGCGACGAAGATAACTCGGGTCCAGAGGTGGTTCGTAGAACCGTGGACAGGGACAGCAATAGGGGTCCAAGGAGGGGAAGGGAAGGCCAATCTGATAGGTTCGGTGGCGCGAGAAGGGGAAAGGAGGGTGAGATGGATAGGTTTGGGGGTTCGAACAGGAGGAGAACCACCGGCGAGCCAGCTGATTCATTCAGGAACAAGCGGTTAGGTGATCGAGAAGGTGCAAGGAACGGTCGTATTCAAGGAAAGAGTAGTGAGTCGTCTTTTCGTGGAAGGAATGAGAGAAATGTAGATTCAGGGTTTAGGAGAGATCGAGGTTTGGAAAACAACAAGGGCTTGGGGAAACAAACTAGAGTTTTAAGACAGGAAGAGGACGATAGTAGTGACGAGGATGAGAAGAGGGGTGTATTGGGAAACATCGATGATTTGCTTAGTGAAGATAGTACTGATGAGGATGATGAACATGATGTGCCTCTTATTAAGAAAGCGGCTTCTGCCAAGGCTGGAGAGACTGAAAAGCCAAGGAGTGACCATGTCAAAACTTCAGATTCTTACTTGTCTAAGACAAGGTACATTATTTTTCAATTTTTATCTATCTTTACATGTGAGGAGATTGCTTCAGTTCTGTATCTGACTAAATTTGACCATTTAGTGCTGTTTGGTTGATAATACTCTATATGGTAAATGGTTTACAGATTTGATCAATTCCCACTGTCTCCCTTATCGCTAAAAGCCATCAAGGATGCGGGATTTGAGACAATGACTGTTGTGCAGGAGGCTACTCTCCCTATCATTCTCCAAGGTGAACTTTTCTTCATGAGTCTTGTTTACAAGGCAAACTAGAAATACACCTTCGTTTAGAGATTTATTGACAATTTCTAATTGACGCCATCTCACAAGCTTTTAAAGATCATTTTTGCAATAGCCAATAGGTTTTTCTAAGACAACTTAGAAACTTGTGTATCTGTCTTCCGGATTCCTCAATTTTGCCATTACTTCCATTTTGTAGCTTGATTGTTTAAAATCCTCGTTGAATCCTTGGTTTCTTCTGGGCTCTGTCTTCCAGGTAAAGATGTCCTTGCGAAGGCAAAAACAGGCACTGGGAAAACCGTTGCTTTTTTGGTAAGATATTATACCATCTGGGTTCTTTGATATAAGTTGGTCAGTTAAGAATTGACCGGCCTTCGATTGGGATCTGTTCTTACTTCTTATTGTTAATGTTTACTTCTAGCTTCCATCAATTGAAGCTGTTATTAAATCTCCTCCTCCAAGTCGGGATAACAGGCAACCCCCAATTATTGTGCTTGTGGTATGCCCTACTCGGGAACTTGCCAGTCAAGCTGCTGCAGAAGCAAACACCTTGCTGAAGTATCACCCATCTATTGGAGTTCAAGTTGTGATTGGAGGCACAAAGCTTCCGACAGAGCAAAGGCGTATGCAAACGAATCCTTGCCAGGTTATAAGAGATCTCTTTTGCCAATCTATGTGTATTAACGTGAAGTTAATTCTGAGTAAATTTTGCTCTTCCTTTAAGTTTGGTTGTTCAGATGGGTGCAGTTACACTGAGCTGCTTTTTATATTGATTAATAATCACATATTTGAACACTCTCAGATACTCGTGGCTACACCCGGAAGGCTCAAAGACCATATTGAGAACACATCTGGATTTGCTACAAGGTTGATGGGTGTGAAAGTCCTTGTGCTTGATGAAGCTGATCATCTCTTGGACATGGGTTTTCGAAGGGACATTGAGAGGATAATTGCTGCTGTTCCTAAGCAGAGACAAACATTTTTATTTTCTGCCACTGTACCGGAAGAGGTAAGTGTCAGTTTCTTGTACATAGGCTCTCATTTTTGGGTTGAAATCTTGAACTGTATTTTTTGGTGTCAAGGTCCGCCAAATATGCCATGTTGCTCTGAAACGAGATCATGAGTTCATCAATTGTGTTCAAGAGGGTACTGGGGAGACGCATCAAAAGGTAAAAGATTTCTTTAGGTTGATTTGAGTGGATGACCTGCCGTATGCTTGGATTTATCAATTTCTTATGTCTGTTATATCTCCCAGGTCACACAAATGTACATGATTGCATCACTGGATAGACATTTCTCGCTCCTATATGTGCTTCTTAAAGAACACATCGCAGATAATGTTGACTATAAGGTAACATTGTTTCTCTATTGCCACTGTGAATCACCAATGTCTGTATTTCTGAACTAACACAATCTGCTTGCTGTTGCAGGTTATTATTTTCTGTACAACTGCTATGGTGACAAGATTGGTGGCTGATCTGCTTAGTCAGCTAAGCCTGAACGTCAGAGAGATCCATTCTAGAAAGCCGCAGAGTTACAGAACAAGAGTTTCTGATGAGTTCCGCAAGTCCAAGGGTATTATCCTTGTCACATCCGATGTATCTGCTCGTGGTGTCGATTACCCTGATGTGTCCTTAGTCGTACAGGTAACAGTTTTCCGACACAGAATTGTTCTGCAACTAAATTTTTTATCTCTATATCTGTACTGAAGTTGTTTGCTTTTGCAGATGGGATTGCCATCAGACAGGGAACAGTATATTCATAGACTTGGCAGAACCGGGCGGAAAGGTAAGGAAGGGGAAGGAGTATTATTATTGGCACCATGGGAAGAGTACTTCATGTCATCTGTTAAAGACCTACCCATCACCAAGTCTCCTCTACCTCCAATAGACCCAGAGGCTGTGAAAAGGGTAAGCTTTTTCATATCATATAATAAAGTGAACTCGCATAAAATTGTGATTCTACTGAACCTGGCAAGTCTTTGGTATCCTATATATTCTAGCAACTCAGAAGGACTGCGGAATGTGGTTCTGAATTTGAATCTGTAAACAAATGCCAGTGTTTAGGATCGACCTTCACCTGACACAACACAAAAAATCTTTGAAGTCAGAACCTAAGATTTTTCAAAAGTATGTAACTTTTGTGAGTATTAATGGGTATAAGAAATTTGTTGAATCCAGGTGCAGAAAGGGCTTAGCCAAGTGGAAATGAAGAACAAGGAGGCGGCGTATCAGGCGTGGTTGGGTTACTACAAATCTCAGAAGATGATAGCACGAGACACGACCAGATTAGTAGAGTTAGCCAATGAGTTTAGCCGCAGCATGGGACTTGACAGCCCACCAGCTATCCCAAAAAATGTTCTTGGCAAGATGGGTCTCAAAAACGTTCCTGGTATTAGAACCAAGTAGAATTTTTTATTATCTAGTGATTTGCTTTGGTCTTAAAACTTTAATGCTTTGTAAGTGTAATCTCTTGTCATCCTTGCTACACTTCCGAGTTTAAACTTTCTAACTAAAGAAATCCGATAAAAGTTACCTTATGAAAATGTTTTGTTTGTAATGGCTTAGTTACCATGAGTATTTTGTTTTTCACTATAAATGAAAAAGTTTTTTTTGTTGGATATACAGTGTTTTTTTTTTCCCCTAAACATAAAGAGAGACCATCATATGACTCATATTGTTATCTTTCATTAAATCGATAACATAAGCACCCTACATTGTTTTTGAAAATATGGAAACTACAGTTCTAAGCTTTCATGATCACAAAGTTTTAGGCAAATGGCTATTTGGTTTTGGACAGTTATGAAGATCGTAAAAAATTTCAACCATTTTCCTTCAATTAAGTTAAAGATGTTTCTGATATCAATACACATTTGAAAGCAATGAGAGCAAACTACATGCCGTTTTTTTTAATCTGTTGATATTTTTGGGCCACTCTCTCTTCTCTGATATACCCTTAAGCCCTAAAATTGTGTTTTCCTACAAAACCTTTTAAACCCTAAATTTACCGACGGCGGGAACTTGGTAGTTACAGAGCCTTACAGGTTAAGGTATAGGCTTCATCGTTCTCTTCCATCTTTTCCTCCTCTCGTTTCCATGAACTCTGATGGACCCAAATCCGGTAAGAAGAGACGGGAGCTTCGCGCTAAACATTTGAAAAAGCTCACCAGTGACGAAGATGACTCGGTAAAACTAGTCAAGGAGAACAACAATAGAGTTCCAAAGAGAGGAAGAGAAGGCCAATCTGATGTTGACGAGCCTCTTATTAAGAAAGCAGCTTCTACTAAGCCTGTGGAGGCTCAAATTCCTAAAACTTCAGATTCTTATTTGTCTAAGACAAGGTACATTTTTAGCTTTTCTTTCAACTAAAGAGTATGTAATTGAACTCTCTTAGTATCAATTGCATTGTAATTGAAGCTACAATTTATTCTCTTTCTGTGTTATGCATGTGAGGAGATTGCTTTAGAGCTGTTCTTCTGTATGTGACTTGCTTTGACCATATATTGCTGTTTGATTGAGTATTCTCCTTATGGTAAAATGGTTTTACAGATTTGATCAGTTCCCTCTGTCTCCATTATCGCTAAAAGCAATCGCGGATGCTGGATTTAAGACAATGACTGTTGTACAGGAGGCTACTCTTCCTCTCATTCTCAAAGGTGAACTTTTCTTTCATTCTCGTTGGAGTTGCTTATAAGGCATCTTTCTTCAGTATTGCTCATGTTTTTTCATGACTTAACATTTGGCTGATTGTATATTGTTCCTCTAATCTCTTAACTCCTTGGTTTTCCAGGTAAAGATGTCCTAGCCAAGGCCAAAACAGGCACTGGGAAAACTGTTGCGTTCTTGGTGAGACAGCCTACCCTCTGATTTCATGCATTAAGTTGGTCAGTTAGTATTTTATCAGGCCTTCAGTTGGGGATTTGTTCTTAACGTTGATGTTTATATTGAAGCTTCCATCAATTGAAGCTGTTATCAAATCTCCCCCTGCAAGCCGGGATAATAGGCATCCCCCAATTATTGTGCTTGTGGTATGCCCTACTCGGGAACTTGCTTGTCAAGCTGCTGCAGAAGCAAACATCTTGCTGAAGTATCACCCATCTATTGGTGTTCAAGTTGTGATAGGAGGCACAAAGCTTCCTACAGAGCAAAGGCGCATGCAAAAGAGTCCATGCCAGGTAAAATTTTCCATGTGTGGTAATGTAAACATATTTCTAAGCAAATCTTGCATTACCGTTGAGCTGGACTTCTAAGATGAAACTTGTTATCTGACCAAGAGAGTTGCATTTTTTTTTTTTTTAACTGAATTGGTTGTCCTTCGCTAGAACAATATGGGCTCATGTTTTGGATTGTTAAGAACAAGATGTGGTAGTTAAAAAAAGAATGTAAGAATGTGTTTTCCCGTTCAGGTTAGGATTGTTTTCAATCAGAGGATATGTTCCTTGATTTAGCCTCTTATGCATTTATATCCTTTTCCATCAAGTGGCTGCAGAGATGGTGATCTTTGTCTCTGTATATTTAAAAATAATAACATATTTTCACAATCACAGATTCTCGTGGCTACACCTGGAAGGCTTAAAGACCATATCGACAACACTTCCGGATTTGCAACCAGGTTGATGGGTGTGAAAGTCCTTGTGCTTGATGAAGCTGATCATCTCTTGGACATGGGTTTCCGAAGGGATATTGAGAGGATAATAGCTGCTGTTCCTAAGGAGAGACAGACATTTTTATTTTCCGCCACGGTACCTGAAGAGGTAAGTGTCAGTTTCTTGCACAAAGGTCTCACTTTTGGGTTGGAATCTTGAATTGTGTTTTTTTGTATCAAGGTCCGCCAAATATGCCATGTTGCTCTGAAACGGGATCATGAATTCGTCAATTGTGTTCAAGAGGGGGCTGGGGAGACGCATCAGAAGGTAAAACATTGCTTTTTAAGTTCATTTGAACAAATGGCCTGCATATGATTGGATGTTATTGGTTTCATATGTTTGTTTTATCTCCCAGGTAACACAAATGTACATGATTGCATCATTGGATAGACATTTCTCGCTTCTCTATGGTCTTCTGAAACAACACATCGCAGATAATGTGGGCTATAAGGTAATAATGTTCCTCCAGTGCCATTGTGAATCACCCACTGTACTTCTGGTTTAACATGATTTCCTTGTTGTTGCAGATTATCATTTTCTGTACAACTGCTATGGTTACAAGACTGGTGGCTGATCTGCTTGGTAAGCTATGCATGAACGTCAGAGAGATCCATTCTAGAAAACCGCAGAGTTATAGAACAAGAGTTTCTGATGAGTTCCGCAAGTCCAAGAGTATTATCCTTGTAACATCGGATGTATCTGCTCGTGGTGTTGATTACCCTGATGTGTCCTTAGTCGTACAGGTAATCCATATAGTTGTTTTCCATCATGGGATTGCACAGTAGCTAAAAATTCAATGGTTTTTACTGAAGTTGTTGTTTATATGTTGCTTTTGTAGATGGGATTGCCATCAGACAGGGAACAATATATACATAGACTTGGCAGAACTGGGCGGAAAGGTAAGGAAGGAGAAGGTGTACTATTGTTGGCACCGTGGGAAGAGTACTTTTTATCTTCTGTTAAAGACTTGCCCATCACACAGACTTCTTTACCGCCAATAGACCATGAGGCTGTGAAAAAGGTATGCTTCTTCAATACTATTGCAAACTTAGCATTACCTTTCTACTGAACTTGGCAAGGCTTTCTAAAATTCTATTCAACCAGAGTACTATACTAAACTGTATTGGAATGCAAGTACCTAATGTTTAAAATAGATTTTTAAGAGTATGTGACTCGAGTGAGCATTGATGAATGGGAGAAAACATGTTAAAATCAGGTGCAGAAAGGACTTAGCCAAGTGGAAATGACGAACAAGGAGGCAGCATATCAGGCGTGGTTGGGTTACTACAAATCACAGAAGAAGATTGCAAGAGACACAACCAGACTGGTGGAGTTAGCTAATGAGTTTAGCCGCAGTATGGGACTTAGCATCCCTCCAGCTATCCCTATAAATGTTCTTGGCAAGATGGGTCTCAAAAACGTTCCTGGTCTTAGAATCGCTCCTGGTTTTGACAAGAAAAAGACAAAGAGAAATTATCGTTCCCGCTAGATTTTGTTTTAGTGGTATGTTTTGTTTTGAAATCATATTGCTCTTAAAGGTATGATCTCTTGTTATTCTTGTTTAACAGTTTTGACTTTCTAATTATTCAAAATCTATAAAAGTTACCTTCTTATGAAGGTATTTTTTGTAAGAAGATTATGTTGTCATGTTCTTTTTTACAGCTAAGCAATTTTGGATTTATGATCCATAGTATTTTTGGATCCCCTGGATCTGCTGAATATGAGAGCTGACTTTCTTCTCTAAGTAATTCTGTAAATTCAAATGTTGACTCACCTAATGTTTACCATGCATAGTGGTGGGAAAACAAAGATATGCTATGCCATCGAAATTATCAAACCGCACTCCTCAATATCTCAATATTCAATCAAAGTGATATAAGTGACAACTTGTAAATAAGGTTTAGCCTAAGTGATCCAATTCTTCAGTAACAAAACTTCGGAATATTAGCCACTAACCAAATCAGTCATAGATGTAATGAAGCATTTTAGGAAAAGTTAATAAAACTTGTAATTTCCCAGGAAAAAAAAAAGAACAAAAAGATGGAACCTTAGAATCAAAGAGTACTGAAAAGAAGGTGATGATGAATGGTAACAGAAAACAGCAAAACCAAAACACCATGTTTCCACTCAAGCTTTGCCTTCACCATACCATAAGGCTATGCCTTTTTGTTGTAACTTGAAAAGCTCTACTAAACCCTAAAGGAGCCAAAAAAAAAAAACACAGAGAAGGCAAGCTGAAAATGGTAAGTTCGTCTATGGCTGCAAATGCAACGACAAGCTTTTCCTTATACAGAACAGAACACCAATAGAGCAGCCACATTTTTTTTGCATCAAACTGGCTGCAGAGATGGTGATCTTTGTCTCTGTTTTTCTTTTTTTTTTTTTTGGGTAAAATTGTCTCTGTATGTTTGTTATATAATGTTTGTTATATAATAACATATTCTCGTGGCTACACCCTGAAGGCTTAAAGACCATACCGACAACACTTCCGGATCTGCAACATTGTTGACGGTGTGAAAGTCCTTGTGCTTGATGAAACAGATCATCTCTTATATTTATTTATTTAATTTTTTTAAAAAATATTGAAGCAAAATCCATGTGGTGGATTGTTATTGGTCAGGTGACTTGTAGGTTATTAACTATATATATATAGTCTGCCTAGCGCTAAGTTTATTTAATTTCTTCTCAAGCACGAAAGTATCTTCTACGTTTCATTGATATCCAAGCTTTAGATCTCGAAGCCTTTCGTTCTTCCCAATCCGATTAAGGTACAGTGGTTCCTTTTTCTTATCTCTCCGAAACCCTAATTAGTCGCTCGCGTCACCGATTCCTCTTCTTTTTAGGGCTATCGATCTCTTTCTCTTAGGGTATTTACTTTCTCCCATGGGAATATTCATCTATGCCTTGATCTCAGTAGATTTGATTGTTGATTTGCGCTGACTAGTTTTTCTCAACAGCAAATAGGTTAGGTTACAAATTGTACTTGTATCGTATCTGATTTGAATGTTTCTTTGGTATTTGTTTTGTAGACCCAAAAGAAGGGAAAAAATGTTGGCAGGTCCTTGTAAGTCATTTTGCTTTTCTGACGAGGAACTCAAAGGCTGCTATCTTCGGTTTCCATCCAGTGCTACCATGCCTCAGTGTCCACGTCCATCTATCAAGTTCGCATTCCTTCCTCCAGGGATCACCATCACCCGCGAGGAGTTTGATGTTCTCAAGCTCACAGCGCAGTTTGTGACTGTTTATGGGATGAACTTTGGAGAGGCATTGACGAAAAGAGTGTGTGAGAGTGAGAACCCTCTGTTTGAGTTTGTGAAGCCAAGTGACAGCAGGCACCCTTTTTACATGCAGCTTGTTGTGGCGTATTCAAGTGTGTTGAAGCCTTCCAATAAGCTGATGCCTTACCAACAGCTGATCAAGAATGTTGATGGTACGCTGGAAGTTGTTGATGGTTTCTTCCAGCTTCTTGATCACGTGCTTGAAAAGAAAGAGGACGAGGTGGAGATGTCTATGACTGATTTGCATGCTTTTGAGTATTTTGCTAACGTGGAGCAGACTGTGTTTGCACCACCATCACCTTTTTTTCTTTCAATGCTCATGAACCCGAAGCTTACTCAGAATGACGACGATGATGCTCAACCTGACACTCCAGCTACTGATGATGCACCAAAATGCCGCTATCCATTCAGTGAGTCGCCTAAGCCTATTCCCATCGAGTTCGCACTCCTTCCTCGAGGGATCACCATCACCCGCAAGGAGTTTGATATTTTCAAGCTCACAGCGCAGTTTGTGGTTGTTTATGGGTTTGATTTTGGAAAGGCATTGACGAAGAGAGTGTGTGAGAACCCTCTGTTTGAGTTTTTGGAGCCAACTGACAGCAGGTTCGGTTTTTACCTGCAGCTTGTTTACGCGTATACATTTGTGTTGACGCCTTCCAAAAAGCTGATGCCTTACCAAAAGCTGATCACGAATTTTGATGATGCTACGGAGGAGGTTGTTGATGGTTTCTTCAAGCTTCTTGATCAAGTGCCTGAAAAGGACATGGACGGAGTAGAGATGGCTATGACTGATTTGCATGCTTTTGAGTTCTTTGCTAACGTGGAGCAGACCGTGTTGCCACCACCACCAGCTGAACTCGTTTCAAAGGTGATGGAACGGGAATTACTACAACAACGGGATCAGACTCGGGGGATTATGCCAGCACTTGTTCCAGAAGACCAGTTCATTGCTCAGCATCCGGTGATGTTTTCTTCAGACTTTTACTTGTCGTTTTCTTCTTCTTTTGTTTCTTTCAAATGGCTTAGCTTGACTTGACTTGTATCTAATTAGCAGTCGTACATTTTCAGGGTTCCGCTAGGATCTTCGTTTCTGTTCTGAGCATCGACAATGGGATAATCATTGAGATCACAGTGCAGTCGTTATTGGCAAACGTGGCAAGTGTGAAGGAGAAAATAGCTGCGGAGATCCAAATTCCAGTGGACAAACAGGAGTTGAGTGGGAAAGCCGGGTTGTTAGAGGACAGCAAGTCACTTGCACACTACAACGTGAGAGCTGGACATGTCCTAAAACTGTCTCTCTGAGAATGGATGCTGCAGGGATTTATACTTTTCCAATCTCTCAAACTCTTCTTTTAATACTCTAATGTGCCGCCAAAAACTCTCTCTATAGTGACTTTTTTTTTAAGTTTAATGTTTTTGGATTTACTGCTAGTTCCGAGACCCACGTTTCGTCTCTGCTATAATCTTAAAACAACTATTTAGTAACATTAATACTCATCTCTGCTGCTCTTTTGGTCCAGTATGGTTTTTTCTAGGATACTGCATGTAAACAGTGTTAATGCCAATTACAGTAATCAAGTCATTTACTAATTTAATTACAAAACATTGATAGTGCGTAGACTCTATATTGATCCTTGATAAACCGATCTTCTTCATAAGTCATATAGTTGTCTTAATTAAGGAATGATAGATATGCGAGCTTTGACTTAACAAACTAGGCACATTATGAATATACAATTTATCTTTCAGTCAGCAAATCCTCCCTATATATATGATCAAGTAAAAACATTTGAATAACATACATATCTATCACTTATTTCCATATTAATTTTTATTGTTATGATTTTAATATTGATGAAATTGTATACTAGTGGGAACAATTATTTTTCTTTTCGTTTTGCATTTATATTATTTTGTTGTATTGTTTTTAATTAACTTTCAAATATTGAAGCAAAATCCATGTGGCAGATTATATATTATTGGTCAGCTGACTTTTATTTTTATTAGATAAAGAATAACCAATTATCTTAACTATATATATATATAGTCGGTCTGAAATAACTTTATAAATAAGCCCTAGCGCGAATTAAGTTTGTTTCTTCCCATTGAAGAAAGGGTTCTGGTTCGTTTCCTTGTGTAGTCGATTTCCAAGCTTTGCATCTCGAAGCCGTACGATCTCCGCCTCTACTCGACGTCCGGACGGTTCTCGCTCTTTACTTCCCAGTCAAGGTATGGTGGTTCCTTTTCTTATCTCTCTCCCAAACCCTAATAAGTAGTCACTCTTCTTTTTTAGGACTATTGATCTTTTTCTCTTAGTATTATTTTGCCTTTTCCCATGGGAATATTCATGAATTTACTCTCTGCGTTTATTTCAGTGGTTTCCTCTTTCCTGAGGCTATTTTTTCATAATCAATAATTTAGGTTAAAAGTTGAAATTCTAGCGAATATAATTTGAATGTGTTTTTTTTTTTCTTTTCTTTTGGGTTTGTTTTGTTTCTGGTTGTAGACAAAAAAAAAAAAAGATGTCCTCTACGCAGAATGAGAGATCCAGGGTCGCTGATGCAATGATCAGGAGCTCATGTACTGATGATTCACCAAACTACTGTGATTTCTGGCTTTCAAGCTGTGATCTGCCTCCGCCTCCACCTATCGAATTCGCATTCCTTCCTCTAGAGGTCACTGTCACACGCAAGGATGTTGATATTATCAAGCTCACAGCACAGTTTGTGGCTGTTTATGGTATGTATTTTCGAAGAGCAATGACGAAGAGAGTACTTGAGAATCCTCTGTTTGAGTTTGTGAAGCCAACTGACAGCAGGAACCACTTTTACTCGGAGCTTTGTCTCGGGTATTTGAGTGTGTTGAAGCCTTCCCAGAAGCTGAAGCCTTCCCAAAAGCTGATCACGGGTGTTGATGCTACAGGGGAAGTTGTTGATGGTTTCTTCAAGCTTCTTGATGAATTGCTTGCAAAGCAGCATCCGGAGGATGGACTTGAGATGGCTTTGACTGATTTTCATGCCTTTGAGTATTTTGCCAACGTGGAGCAGACCGTGGTGCATCTACCACCTGAAATCCTTTCGAAAATGATGAAACTGAAGCTGTCACACAATGGTTTGCTATCGGGGAAAAACAATTCAGAAAGCACAAGTAGCATGGCCAGTAATGTGAATAATGCAAGATTCAGTAGCTCAGGAGCTCAGGTCCTTGCCACTGATGATGATGCACCAGAATGCCGCGATCTCTGGCCTCTATACTGTAATCTGCCTCCACATCCACCTATCGAGTTCGCATTCCTTCCTCTAGAGGTCACTGTCACGCGCAAAGAGGTTGATATTATCAAGCTCACAGCGCAGTTTGTGGCTGTTTATGGGATGTATTTTCGAAAGGCAATGACTAAGAGAGTGGTTGAGAATCCTCTGTTTGAGTTTGTGAAGCCAACAGACAGCAGGCACGACTTTTTCGCGGAGCTTTGTCTCGCGTATTTGAGTGTGTTGAAGCCTTCCCAAAAGCTGAAGCCTTCCCAAAAGCTGGTCACGAATGTTGATGCTACGGGGGAAGTTCTTGATGGCTTCTTCAAGCTTCTTGATCAGTTGCTTGCAAAGCAGCATCAGGAGGATGGACCTGAGATGGCTTTGACCGATTTTCATGCCTTTGAGTATTTTGCTAACGTGGAGCAGACAGTGGTGCATCTACCACCTGAAATCCTTTCAAAGTTTTTGAAAAGGGAATTACTACGTAAATCACAGAATCAGACTCTGGGGATGATGTCACCTGCACCACCTAATCCTACGCATGCACAGTAAATTTACATAGATTCAAATGTGGAGCTAACAAATTTTATTTTATTTTTTTGGTCAAAAGGAACTACCAAATTTATGTTTTGATTTTTAATACAAAAATAGGCGTACAACAATGGTAGTGTATTTTCAAGGTAAAACAAAAACAAATATAGGTCTAAAAATGCCATGCCATCAAAATCATCGAACCGCGCTCAAAATCTCAAAATCTGTCAAAGGTTTGAGACTAACTAATCCAATTCTTCTGTAACAAAGCTTAGGGCAACATTATCAAGGAGATCTTAGACCTAAGATTTACATAGGAAAGTATCTTATGCAAGATCTTTTCCGGTGTAAATTTTAAGTCTAAGATCCCCTTGATAATGTTGGTCTTAGAAATATAGCCAGTAACGACATAGATGCAATGAAGCATTTTAGGAATAGTATTAAAACTTATAATTTCCCCGGAAAAACAATAAATGGACTCAGAATTAAAAGAGTACTGAAAAGAAGGTGATGATGGAATGGTAACAGAAAAAAAAAACAAAATCCAACACCATCTTTCTACTCAAGCTTTGCCTTCACCAAACCATAAGGCTATGCCTTTTTGTTGTAACTAGTAAAGATCTACTAAACCCTAAAGGAGCCAAGAAAAAAAAAAAGAGAAGGCCTTTGGCTATGGCTGCAAGCCTGCAACTGCAACTACAAGCTTTTCCTATACAGAACTGAATTCTGCTACGTTTAGTCCTCTTTCCACTTGTTAACATATCTCAAGAAGGCACTAGCTGGATTTTCATGAAGTGGAGCTCTGACACGGGTAGATCTCCTAACCACTGCTTCATCCATTTCTATGTTGTGAGCAATGTCCTTCGTCCTCTTTTGTAGTGTAGAGCTGCAAATCACAAGTTATCGCCAGGAGTCAAAGCCATGACACATGAACAAGAAGACTTCCATTAAATGTGGTATTACTCTTCTACATATGTATCAAAGTGAGGGTAGAACCTAGTGACCATAATAATAAATAATGCAGGTTATGCAAAAGAGAAGTGGGATGCTATAACTGACCATATTCTGTCATAAAATTTCTCAAGCTGTATATGTAATGACAGTTCCCTCTCTCCTTTACGGTTTAGTGATCCCATCAATGCATCAAGCTGGATATCAAGAACAATACACAAAATTGAACAAGATCTATACAGTTCAATGATCAAGCGAGGAAATGAACCATACCTCTTCCTTGGAGGTATAATATCCCCATTCTTTGGAATCAGAATCCTCAACAAATATCCTACCATTGCTTCGAAACCACCAGTACCTGTTGTAATCCCGATCTTTACCTAAGGGGTTTGTACGTATGACTATTTTTTCCATCTCTCGTTCATAATATTGCCTCTGCATGTAAAAATAAAAAATTCACACTTGATGGGTAAAAAACCACACACATGCATGTATGCAAACAAACTATATAAAATAACTATGAGGTTAAGGACTCTACCCTCTGTTCGGGCCCCCTCCTTTCCGAAGTTCCTTTCTCATCTTCACTTGCTGATTTTATCTCTTGCTTCTTCACTGAAAGTCCTTTCTCCTCCTCATCCTCCTCTGCCCCCTCCTCATCTTCCTCCCCCTTCTCCTCCTCCTTTGATTCGGTTTTTATACCTGTCATCTGCCTTTTGTGCTTTCTTAGATAGACATTCCCCATAAGCCTGTCACTACCATGAGAACAATGAGATTCCAAGTGATCTGAAAACCAAATGTTATGCAAATGAGTAAATAGGATAAGCCATACCTTTTCTCTGGTATTTCATTTTTTTTCGAAGTAACAAAACCATTCTCCATCTTGCTACCCTCTGCACTCCTCTCTTTCTTTTTGCTGTCTTCACTGCTTTCTGGTACTTGTGAGCTATCTTTCTTTTTTACCAACCTACCATTGTCTAAAAATCCATTAGCTTCCTCGCCAGTTTTGGACCGCTCTTTCTCCTCTCTTTTCTGTCGGGCTTCTGCCAATGCTTCCTCTCTTCTAGCAGCTCCAAGGGCATGCCGTTGTTCAACAAGCTCGTCTATTTCCCCCTTGAACATACTTGTTACAGTTATATGGTTCACTACTTCTCTTAAGATTTTCAATTTTACATTTGGGTCCAATAGACCATAATGTCCCCGTCTAATCGTGCCAACATCAATGCATAAATCAGGGGTGTCGACCGATTCCAAGAAATCACAAAGATACTCTCCCCATGTGATCAGTGTTATCTGAAATAAGATGAAATAAAGCAACAACCAGACCATCAAACACAAAGAAAAGGAAAAATCACAAGACTGGCGACTTAATGTTGAATGAGAAAAGCATATAACTGTGGACAATTTTGTTAACCAACAATGATTTCCATGAAACGAAGATCTGACCTTTGACTTGCGACTCCTTCTCTGTAAAGCTTTGAAATTATCACCACGTTCATTGATCAGGAACCGGAAAAGACAGGCATGCACTTCCATGATAAGAATCAAATTACTCTCCTTGTAGCAGACAGCATTTTCGAAGTCTTCAAGAGAAAATCGCCATAGATGCAACTGCCTACCAAATGAGTTACAAAAGTCCCAGACCATAAGTAGATCCCCAACACAATCCATTGAAACACTAAAATCCCGTGAAGGAGAAGGCCGCTGAGTGATATCAGCGTCGTCAAGATCAGGTGGCAAGAGTAAATCTTCAATTGGATAATTGATAGCCTCTTCCTCAGACTCATTAACATCTAGAAAGAAAAAACCAGCGAAAAATCATTAGAAATATTATACAGAAAAGAAAAAAGATTCCTTTATTCCCCAAGTCAAAAATATTCTATATGCTCAGGAGAACACGTATGATTAATAATGTCAGCCGTAAACCAGAAATGTAAAAGATATTGCAAAGGAAATTATGTCAAACATTAGGAAACATTGAATTGGAAATGAATTGCAGAGCATCCATGCAAAGATACCTCTATCTATCTCCTCTGCAACATGTTTACCATTTTCTGCTCTCTTTCTTTTTCCTCTTTCCCTTCCAGGTTTATCTTCCTATAGTTTAGCGATAAGACAAAACTGATAAGTACATAGACTAATTTTAGGCAATGCTACAGCTTATTAAATTGGTGATATACTTTACTTCTACCTGCTTTCTTTGTTGAACCAGTTCTCCATTCTGAAAGACATATTTGTTCTGAAGTTCCTTGGGAATTTTTCTAGTGATATCATGTGCTTTAGCCAGATAATCATTTACGACCCAAGGTATACTGTGGCATGTGGAATCCCGAATGAAAGACTTCAGAAAGTTTCTACTAAATGGAAACTTCTTCCATGACAGATCCTCCCCAGACAGCACTGTGTTCTCATTTATTTCCTTATCTTTGTCAAGGAAGCCTACCTCATACTGAGGTTTACTATTCTCATCTGTTAATATCTTCAAGATTTTGCACGGATGCAGTTCCCCATCCCTTTTTCCATACAACTCTGCACCAGCGAAATAGCAACTTTGCAACTCTGCCGATATTTTGTCAGCAAGATCTTTCAATGACAGGGTACCTTTTTCAAAATGTAAGAAAAAGAGTCAGAGATAGTGTTTATAAAACAGAGATTTCGAGCACTAGGAATTTATCTTAACACAAACAAATTGGAAATGGTAAAAAAGTAGTGCTCATTCGCAAAACTGACAGAAAAAATAAATAAAAATGGTAAAAAGGTAGTCTTGATGCATAACCTAAGCGCACATTCTTAACTCCTTTACACTGATAGTGTAGTCTGTGTCAAGACTAGGAATTTGACAGAAGTAAATGCAACCAACCAGTACCATTCTATGAATTATAGAGGCACATCTAACTTCAGATATGAGAAACAGAAGCTCTCACATGGCTTAGATTCCGGGGTTCCAAGAAGATACAGAAAATTTATGATACAGCCCTCAATGCACACATAATTATAACTAAATAATACCTAAACACACTTGTATCATATGAATGAAAATAACCAAGGAAGGAGTTAAGAACTTACTGAATTGGATGATGCGTAAAGCAGGTGCGACTAGTTCTCTCGCCAGAGTTTGAACTTTCTTGCTGGCCAGTTTTTCTGACTCTAAGGCCTCCTCGTAGCTCAAGCTAGTTTTACCAGTAGATTTACAAGTCCAAACTCGCTTGCGGTACAGATTTAGCCTCTTCAAGTACAATCTAATGTTATGTTAAGAAAAGCAGAAAAATAGTTCTGACACGGGCATGTGCACTGATAAATATGAACAATCAAGCCTTCGAATGATAATAAGAATAAAGATTGTTCCAGAATAAAACGCTGGAAACATAAGGAGATGGGAAATATTTGAAACATAAGTTTAAAAATAATCTCATTTCCAGTTCATAAACTGCAACTGCAATAGAAGAAGGATACTGATAATCTCGAAAAATCTCCTTTGTGAGACGAACTTGATAAACAAGTTCTTGAGGCTCCAAGTCATTTGGGGGCTCCAGTAGTCTATGTGACTTCTTTTTTAGAAGAGGCATCCTTCAAATGGCAAAAAAGACCTAGAGCGTAAAAAATAAGGTGTCTATTAAGTGATTATCATATTCGCTTTTTGTGAAATAATAGTTAGAAACATCAAGGAAATGTAGCAAACAGCTCATCCAAGCAAGAAGGGCAGGAATTGCGTCACAATTGTATCCAATGCAGAAAATGTAAACGCTGTGGGGGAGCAGAGAATGAACAGATAATCTATAACCCACAAAGCGTATAAGGTGAAACAAATGTCAGGTAGAACTCACAGAGTAGTAAACACGTACATATTTGTAGCAAAAAAAAATGCAAATGATGATAGCACATAGCCCCAGAACTGATTCTAATCTTAACAGAGCCAATAGAAAAGCAAGTGAGAACATGTGACTAAAAGAAAGGAACCCCAATGAAAAATGTTGAGAGAAGCAATGCAGAAACGGAGACTGCATTAAACCCTAGAACCACCGCAATCCCAATCGAATTAGGAAAAGATAAAGCATCGGAGAAAATTCACCGATTAAATACCAATTGAGAGCAGTAATCGAACAAGCCAGGGAACCAAAACGAAACCCGAGGAATCAAAACCCATACCCAG